CGGTTCAGGGCTTCCGTACTTCAAGTATTTATGCATTTTTTAATATTTATATGAAAGAAGCAGTTTCATGTCTATCAATGTATTCAATTGGTTGAGGTTGATATTGGATTTAGAAAGTAATTAGTAAGAAGTAGTGCAATACTTTTTAGAGAGAATAAATAGTAGAGTAACTGAATTAGCTTTCACTGTTGAAGATGTAGCTAATGAATTAGGAACTTACCCAACACTGCATACAAGCAAATAGTATATACAGAGTAGCCTACAATCAGTATCAAAGAGTGCTTTAAGTATCTGAACGTTTTGCAGTCAAAAGTGATTTTTCTCATTCTCAGCTTTGTTCTCAGATCCATGTTTACTCTAACGCACAGCTCTATTTTGACACATCAGATGTTTATCCTGTCTGTCTAATCCCTTACGACATAACTGACTGCTTACATTAAGTGTAACTATAGGCCCACATTTAATGCTTACAATGGGTCACACACAGAACGCGCGTGAGCATTTGAAAGCAGCCGTCTGTCAGTAGCCAAGTGAGTGCATTGAATATAGACCTACTGGAATCCAAAAGGCATAAATGATGTATTCGTAGAGCATTTCGAGGGGAAAAAAACAACACTGAAATACCGACGGGCGAGACCACACGTTGTACGCGTCAAGCAAAGCACGTTTCTCACATCAGTGCAAGCACACGATTGCCCTTGTAATTCGCTTCTACCTTTTTGAACTTTATGTAAGAATAATTGATGGAAAGTTTGAGGGTTTTTGTGGGTGTGCGTGTGGAATAGAAAGCAGAATACGGCTGTTCCAGAGCCGCCTTTGCGCATGCGCTTAAAATGAACCTCCGAATAACGTTTAAGAGAGAATTGCGATGCGCCGTTACATAGGCCTATATAATGCAAGTCACAGCAATAAACTATTACAAAAATATAGGCTATAGTTAAAATAAACATTGACTTTAAATTATAATAATACAGTATTTCTGTTTGATCATTATATATGTTTAAGCATTTAAAAGGCTTGCTCTATATTTGTATTATCACATAAACTCGTTGGGAATATTTTGAATAGTAGGCTTAGCACTTTCTCTAAATATTGAGAACCGGAGAGCAAGTTTTATTGTTTTAAATTCCTCTCCCAAAAATCTTTACATTGTCTGTAACCTGGTTAGCTTTTTCAAAGCCTTCAAATGTATCTGAACCTTAATCTTTTGAGTCTGAGACACAACAGTTTAGGGAGCTTAGCTTTTCAAACCCATAAACCCATGTGTTTGAGCTCTCTGTGCCTTGAAGGCTTTGTCATTCTCAAACACATACGTACATCTGTAGCCAGAGGCCTTTAAAGCTCCAGAACTATCTGACTTTCATATAATTTGCATCCTCTCCAAAGGAAATGCGGACCTTCTTCTGCAGAAGCCCATGAGCAAAAACATCTCTGACTGTGTTCTTGCATACTTCTGTCTGCTTTGATCTCCTGAGCATACATTCTTCCCGGGGGAAAGTTGATTGTGAAGATCAACAATCCCTCCTCACCGTCGCGTCTGATGCCTGCCGTCACACTGCGCTTCAGAATCAGGCCCAAAGCAAACTCGGCTTCCTGATCAGTTCAGTCTGTGGCATTGTAAGATGAGGTGATGGAATGGATCATCCAGATGTCTGCTTGTCAGGAAGGATCTTTTCCTGGCTAATAAGTGACCGCTTTTCCGGGTGTTTCTCCAAACCAACAATGAACTTAGAGAAATGCTTCAAAGGGATTAGCATGATTTAACATTTTTCATAAGAGCATTTAAACATTTAAGCTGTAAAACTCCACCTAGATTAATGTGATTTGACTCTTTATGATTATCATGTAACATCTTTCATGTGAGATGTGCTTTTTGGACCATAAAGACTAATGGCAATGGAATTGCCTGTTTTGGTTTCTTTCTCAGTTGTGGATGTTAAGATAGATGACTGAATCATTGGCTGTGCTCAGAATAGTACTCTTACTGTTTTGTTGTATAGTGTGCACAGTATCCATAATAGTCTAATAGTTATTTTGCATAAAGTTGACCATTATTTATTATTATTATTATTAAATTGTGTAGGATTTCTTAACTTCAGTTGGTTTTTAAGAAATTAATATAGGCTACTTTTATTCAGTACACAATAAATTGATCAATAATGACAGTAAAGACATGTATAATGTTACAACAAGCTATTCAACTTTCTATTAATCAAAGATTCTTGAAAAGTTTCAAGGTTTCCACTAAAATGTACACTAAAGGTACACTATGTAACTTTTGAGCCTCTAGCGGTTAAAAAAACAACTGCGTTAATTTTGTGGAAGAACATTGTTTTGGCTGTGCTTTCGCTCTTCGTGACTGTGTGGATGAATATGAGACCTCAATATGCATCATAATTTACAACAAACTCTATTAGAGACCTATATATGCCCATCTGTGGCAATTTATCTGGTGAACAAAATTAGGGCTGAAACGATTAGTCGACATTGTCGACAATAAAAAATTGTCGACAAATATCGTTGTTGTCCAGTCAACATGACATCATGACTTTAGCGCAAACATACACACCACTTTCAAGTCAAGTGGCGTGTTATCTATACGCATTTTGAGCTATCCGCGATTATGTGTGTATGTCTACACCATTAATTAATGAGTGATTCCGCGTGTATGTACACGCCGTTAAATGTCCTCGCGAAACGAAGCAAAATGTAGATCTACATCTGGGGAGCGATATATTTTTTTTCCTTGGATGGTAGGGGAAGACTCATAAATGCTATTAACCCCACTAACCGGTAGGTTTAGGGACGGGGTTGAGGTAGGTCATATATTTATATATACAGTAATGTAACGTTAAGTTAGCGGTGTTCACAAACATGCTAAAAAAACGATTATGCATGTTGATAGCACGCCAAAAATGGAAATACAAATTGCCATCATACACACGCAATTACATGAGATCAGTCTTGATCTCACGTGACCTAATTTAAGGGCGTGAAATATCGCGATTTGACCGCTACGGCGCGGTGGCGCTAGAGTGTAATGCAGCCCTTTACAAATGCTATTGCGGTAAAAGAAAAAAACAGCGCAATATATGACGGAGTGCATACGAATCCGATTCCGAACTTGCAAGGTTTGGGAAAGTTTCACAAAACTTCAAACCAAGAATGCTGTCTTGTGCTCGTGTGTCCTTAAAGAGGAAACATCCCGGCAAAAGAGGAGCCGATGAAAACTGAGTGTCCTCCAGTTGGAGCTAACTACTGTAACTTGCTCTGAATCTCTTTATTAGATGGATGCAATACTACTAATAATAGTAAAAATATTATCAATAATAATATAAATACAGTAATGTAATGATTTATTTTGCATAGAATAAAGCTTGATTGAGCTTAGGAGTCAGGGCTGTTTTTATTATTGTAACCCTATTATGTTTTATAGTCTTATCACTTGCCTGTACTGACTTACAAAAGGAGATGTTAGGAAGAATATCATGGCAGTACTTTTTCATACTGTAAATGAAAAGCCGGCCAATGAGAACGTCTCTGTCAGCTCAATTGTCATGTAAAAAAAAAAAGATTGTAATTTTATATTTATAAAAATGGGTTACAGATACATATATTACTATTCTTTGTGTCCTGAAGTAAATGTCGCCCTTTTCTGTTTCAGTTCTAAGAAAAGCAGTGGGCCTATTAAACAATGCTTAGAGAGCATTTGTGTATGATTTGAGTTGGACTTAAATCTGAAAACGTAAAGAGAATGACCTGTTTAGTTGACTCTGATTATATATATATATATATATATATATATATATATATATATATTACGGGAAGTATATAACTCAATATTTTAACTAATTGAAAAAGCTGAATAATCATTCCAAACGTACTGATTGGCCCGCAAAATAATCGACGATTAGTCTAATAATCGTTCTAATAATCGTTAGATTAATCGATTATCAAAATAATCGTTTGTTGCAGCCCTAAATACCTTACCTGTTGAGCAATAAAAAATTTCGCTTTTACATTTCAAATCCCTCTGTTCTCTCCATCTCCGAAAAGCCAACCAGTGTTGATCCTCATTTTATTACGAGCTCTGACATGTTCTCTATCTGCCACCAGACTCTCCTTTGTCTTTTTATGATTCCCCGAAGGTTTGAGATTTATTCCAGCTCCATGTTGAATTTTCCCTTTTGTTGAAACGACTAACCTGCCACACCATACACACGTCAAAGTACTTTTGTCTTTTTACGGATTTGACAAGACCCACACGGGTGACCAATTTCCTGCAAAAACCTTCCCGGCAGGTCTAAAATGTAAACACTTATAATAGGCTTACCATAGTGAATCAGGGTGAGACACACACACACACAAAAAAAAAAAAAACATTTGGTTGTATATTTGAGCAACAATCATTCAACAATTTTAACTATGATTTGAAGAAATTTGAGAATGATTTCTGGAGTATCAGAATAGTATTGAATTATACTATAATATTGTTTATTATTATACTATAATATTGTTTTTATAATATTACAATAAAAACAGTTCAAATGTAATAATATTTGACAATATTAATGTTTCAAATTAATTTAATATATTTGGTTTGCATAAGAGAATTTCAAAAACACAAAAAAATCTACCGAACCCAAACTTTTGAATGGTAGTGAATAGGATCCGGGTGTTCTGAGCACTCATACTTGTGATGTTTGTTTTCTACAAGGTTGATAATGCAGCTATAGCGCCCTCTAGTGCACCAGCAGAGATATTACACATTTTCTTAGACATCTTTTCCCTTGATATAACTGGGTCCTAAAACCAGCTGTTTTTGTCTAAAATTAAACTTGGACTGATGTTTGATTTAAAATGAATTAAGCCTGTTTCAATTATTTTGGATTACGGCTCCTCATTGAGTGTCTGCAGCTCTCACATTATTATTTTGATATAAAACAGATTGTCAATCCTCCCATCTGCAGCATCCTAACACCCTCCCCTTTGCTCTGCAGGTCTGTGCAGCTGAACGGAGAGCACTTGCGTATGGTGGACAATGAGACGTTCCCTGAGCTGAAGCCACGGACGCTCAGGGCGGGAAGAACGATAGCTATGCCGCCTGTTTCAATCGGCTTCTACGTCATCAAGAACATTAACGCTTACGCCTGCCGTAGATAACACACACTGACCGACCTCAGACGATCTTCTGCTCAATGCACCAGCTCCTCATGGCCTTCTCTTTTAGTAAGCCCACAGAGACGTGGAAAAGACCCCTTCGTTCAAGCAAGGGCTGCACTGAATGCTTCCTACAACCTTTTCTCCTCTCTTTTTCCGCACAAGAGCAGCTTGACTTGTGGAAAGTGAATGTATATTGGCTGCCGTTTTGTGTTTTTGTTGTTTTTGGTGTCAGGAGCATATAATGAAGTCTCTGGCCCTGTTGGACGATCGGATCACAAATGCAAGTGTAAACGGGGTCTAAAACGTTTAGTGTCCACTTTCAACCACTTCCAGTGGTATAGTGTAAGCGTGTAAGCGTAGTGTAAGCGCTCATGTGGTTGAATGCATTCGAACATCCACAAAAGACTGCCTTCTGACCTAATGCGTAAACATGGGAAGCGCACTAGACAGATAGGATTGAAACTTTGTCGGATGAAGACCCATGTTTGGTTTGAAGCCGAAAAATGAACCAAGCACAATGTTCTCCACACACTCTAAAAAATGCTGGGTTGTTTTAACCCAATTTTGGGTCAAATATGGACAAACCCAAAATGTTGGGTTAAAAATGTAATGTAAAAATTTAACCCAACGGCTGGGTTAGTCCATATTTGACCCAAAGTTGGGTTAAAACAACCCAGCATTTTTTAGAGTGCACCATTTCTGATTTCTAACACACTTCTGATTTTCTATCACTGCGTTCGGCTTGGACTTACGACTATCAGAGCAGAAACTTAAGCTCTCTGATCACGTTCATATGTAAATTTTGCAAGCTTATTTTGTCCATTAGATCAGCAAATCTGAAAAACACATACATTTACCAGCCCATAGACCATCTGCTTGAAGAAATCAGGACAGAAGTGGTTGAAAGTGGACAAAAGAGATGTAAACTACAAACCCAGAGCTAATGTGCAGTTCAGATGTGGTAAAAATCATTTTGAAGTAGGCCTAGGCTGAATCAAACTTTTTTACATTTTCTGCTGTGATTTTGGGAGAAAACGCCACTCTTAAAAATAAAGTTTCCATGAAGTGCTCCTATTATGTTATTTTTTTTAAAGAGTAACTAAACACTTAATCAACTTTTTTTAGTTAATGATCTGTAAGAATGGATCTTTATTAATACCAGTCATTGATTCGAGTAACTTTTTTGACATTTGTGTATAAACTGTTCTATTTCTACAATATGTGTTGTAAACACGTCTTAGTGCTGCCCTCTTCAAGTTGAACGGTGGCTACTGCAGTTGAATTCTCCTATTGGATGTTCCGCACTTTGTGACATACGCAGGTTTCAGCTCACCACGCGAGCTACGCCCTTGGCAGTATAAAAACCAGCTTGTGTCGTCAAAACCACTGTAGGGAGTCAGGAGTTGGAATTGCGAATATTGAAAACGATCAGGATAGAGTGTTTTAGCATCTATCTCCGCTTGGGTCACCCCACTTTTTCGGCATTTTCAAATATTGCCAGTGGGTGGAGTCAGGCTCTGACCAGGGGTTTAGTTACCCTTTAAAGGTTCCTAATTTTGTTTTGGAGGGCTCCTACAATAGGCGAAAACCCCCTCTTTTCGTGAGCCTACTCTGCTCTGATTGGTCAGATGTTCAGCCCAGTCTGTTGTGATTGGTCTACTGCTTACAGTGCGAGTCGGAAACTAAACGCCCATTACCATATCTAAATTTCAGCTCCGGAAGCTTCCTCAGCACTTGATACACAGTGATACGAACCGTATGGTATTATTCAAGCCTTGATTAGTCCTCATTTTTTTAGATGTGCATACAAGTGCAGGAAACAGCGCCTTCTCAACATGCCGACAACATGGGCGGGTCAAAGCAGACATTGTTTGCTGGCAGCCAATGCAGACCATAGGGCTGGTATTATGCAAATTTGTTAGGTTTGTACACTCTAAAAATTGCTGGGTTGTTTTAACCCAACTTTGGGTCAAAAATGGACAAACCCTGCGATTGGGTTACATTTTTTAATTGCATTTTTAACCCAACATTTGGGTTTGTCCATATTTGACCCAAAGCATTTTTAGAGTCAGTCTGTCTATCATCTATCTATCTATCTATCTATCTATCTATCTATCTATCTATCTATCTATCTATCTATCTATCTATCTATCTATCTATCTATCTATTTATCTATCTATCATATATCTATGCATCTACCTACACTCTAAAAATTCTTGGGTTGTTTTAACCCAACTTTGGGTCAAATATGGACAAACCCAAACGTTGGGTTGAAAATGTAATTAAAAAATAACCCAATGGCTGGGTTTGTCCATATTTGACCCAAAATTGGGTTAAAACAACCCAGCAATTTATAGAGTGTAGGTTCATGTAGGAAGTATTGGTGACTCGTTTCAGACCGTTCAGAATCTTACATTTTTTAAAGGGGAGACAATAACTTTATTTATTGTGCACTTTGAACTTTGCAGAAACTACATAAAACACTACATGACAGATAATTTTCGGAAATAAAAAATATAATAGGGGCACTTTAACATCCATTGAATTTTCTGGACCTTTATAATGGGGAAAAAAAGGTTCTTTTAGATTTTTTTTTTTTTTTCACTGAAAGTTTATTTGGGAAGCCAAAAAATAGGTCTCCTATGGCATCGCTGCAAACACGCCTTTTGGAAACTTTACTTTTTAAGTGTGTGTGGAACGGATTTAAACATGGTGAAACGTGTTAAACAGAACCGACAGTGCGACGCTCCTATTGGTCGCTGGAAACATTATCAGATTAGCCCAAATATTTGAATGAAAATGCACAGGACGAAAGATTTAAATGACAGCCGTTCCAATTCTCTGGAGTTCTGTGGGAGCAGATTCTGTGTGGGCCTGTCCGTCAGCTTAATGTGATTTAGCCGAGTAGGACGTGTTCCTGGATCAACATCCGTGTCGGTTGTTAAACAACATTCCAGTCTGTCAACCAATCAAATTTTAGGAATAGAGTTAAGGGGCCTGAACAATGTTCTTTTCTAGCAATCGTTTCCCTTGGAAGTTAAAGGGATGCTCCACTTTTTTGCAAATAGGCTCATTTTACACATCCCCCAGAGTTAAACAGTTGAGTTTTACTGTTTTCGAATCCATTCAGCCGATTTTTTGATATTTAGAAGAATATCAGTAACCAGACAGTTTCATGGTCCCATTGACTTCCATAGTAGGAAAAACTATATACTGTCAATGGGACCAGAAACTGTCTGGTTACTGATATTCTTCTAAATATCAGAAAATCGGCTGGATAGATTTGAAAACGGTAAAACTCAACTGTTTAACTCTGGGGGAGTTGTAAAATGAGCCTATTTCCCCAAAAAAGTGGAGTATGCCTTTAAGAGTAGGGTTGCAAGTGTTAGGACCGGTTAGGACTGTGATTACTTGCTAGAAATGTTGTTCCAGGACCAACAACGGAGGTCAATCCTCGCACAAATATCAGTTTGATCTAAATTACTGTCTTGGGTATACTTTTTGATTCTAGCGTCTTTGATTTTTGCAATCTTTGTTTTTCATCACAGGACAGTAAATCTGTCCTTTACATCCTCTTTAAAACTTTGCCATTTATGAGCTGACTAATATCTTTTGGCTTGTTTTTTTTTAATACTTTTTTATATATATAAATTCAACCTGTAAAACGGTTAAGGTACGATGGGAAGATACTAAAATATCCTTATAGTTCATTGCTAAATTTGAAAAGTATCACATAATACACAAAACCGTCTTTATTCATTTCAATATTCATTGGTTCTCTGAGAAATACTGCTCTTTATTTATAATGTTTACAAGTTTACAAGACTTCCCATTGTAGCTCAGACTCTTTTGAAGCCTGAAAGGAAAGAGTAGGGAGTTTTTGAAGTTTGCTGAGGCGCTCAGGAAATTAGCTCAATTGTTGTCCTTTGGTGTCATGCATTCATGTATACTATATCAGTGTGAACCTGAGCTTACAGTTCTCCAGTTTTAATTTGCTATATTAAACACTACCTTTATTCTGTGTTGATACAGGGGCCGTAAAAGTGTTGGAAAGTTAAGTCACGCTTAAAAATGCAATAAAAAAATGTATATTGTAAGATTAAGTGTTGCTTAAGTGTCCAAATACTTTTAGAGCCACTATAAATCCCATGTACAGCGATTCCTTTGTGCTGCTATCTGACTAAATAATAGTAATAAGCATGATGAGTGACAGATGTTTCTGTACAGGTTTAAACCTTTTGTTATATTAGTAAATGTATATACAATTGGTTTTTGATTTAAACAGTGTGCTTCCTCATTCTATAAATATTATTTATATAAGTGTTTGTGTGTGTGTGTGTGTACATATGTGAGAAAAACATGACTTTTATTTAAGTCACAACATTTTGTCAGATAATATTGTAGAATAATGACGTACTTTTTTTGTAAAACATACAGATGTTAATGTTTGGCAATCAAAAAAGCCTTTTTATTTTCAATGTATTGAGTTGCTCACAGTGCACACTTGTTTTGCATTGGATGTTCTTTGGTCTTTCAATCACAAAGCCAAAATTGCACTTCAGCTTTCACGGTTATATGAATTCTGTGGATTTTTTGGGGGGGAAATTTTGGCTTTTTAATTGGTTATGACAGCGTGTATAGTCCGAATTTTTCCAGGGTCAAAAATTCTAATGTTTTATTAGATTTCGGAAGATTATTTTGTGATTTAGAGATTTGTATTGTAAAATGACACTTTTAGAAGCTTTTTTGTTTTTCCTTGAATGTGTTTTTTGCAAATTTAGAGTTGTTAATATTTTTTCTGTTAAAGAGCATTATTTTATTATGGAAATGTTTATGTCTGAATATTATTTTTCTCAAAATATATAAATAAAATAGTAGTAAAAAAGTAGGTTTTGACCTCTTATTTACATTAATTCATGTAAATTCAGTGTGTGTGTGTGTGTGTGTGTGTGAATAATAACCCATGAAGAGTGTGTCCTATGACACGGATAGAGGCTGAATTGAATTCCAGCACATGTTCAAGAGTGCAAGCTATGAACTCTGTGATTTATAAATGGGCCTGAACACAAAGAAATAAATTGTGACAGTACGCTGCAATGGGTAACCCAAGACCGAGCGCTTTATGTTCCAACAGGTCACGGGGATAAGATCAACTCGCAAGTCTTCAAAGGCCCGGCAGGGTCCTCAGCCCAGCGCTGGAGGGTTCACAAAGGGAAGGAGCCCGTTCGGAGCTCGCACACCAGCAGATGTTCCCTTTCCGAACAGCTGGGACAAGACTTTGTTGAGAAACAAGAGCGAACTGTGGTGTCAGAGCAATCGTGTGCAGCACTAAGTGATGAGAACCATTTGCACCTGAATGAGACTCATATTTAGATAAAGGGGATTTTGATGTTTTCTCATCTAAACTGCTACAAAATTCTAAATTACATGTTTTTTAAATGATGGAGTAAATGCATCATGTATTTGGAGCAAAGCAAAATATTTTGCCTTGACATGCTGCCTATATTAACTGTACTTAAGTGCA